GGAAGGACTAAAGGGTGGAAGGGAAGGAGGGATGAAAGGAGAAAGGGAGGGAGGGAGGGAAGAGAGAAGGAAGAAGGAAGGAAGGAAGGATGGGGAAAGAGGAGACATTGAAGGAAGGAGGAAGGAAAGGAAAGGAAGGACTAAAGGGTGGAAGGGAAGGAGGGATGGAAGGAGAAAGGGAGGGAGGGAAGGAAGAGAGAAGGAAGGAAGGAAGGAAGGAAGGAAGGAAGGAAGGAAGGAAGGAAGGAAGGAAGAGAAGGAAGGAAGGAAGGAAGGAAGGAAGGAAGGAAGGAGGAAATGATGGAAGGGAAGGAGGAAGAAAAGGAAAGGAAGGACTAAAGGGTGGAAGGGAAGGAGGGATGGAAGGAGAAAGGGAGGGAGGGAAGGAAGAGAGAAGGAAAGAAGGAAGGAAGGAAGGAAGGATAAAGAGGGAGACATGGAAGGAAGGAGGAAAGGATGGAAGGGTAGGAGGAAGGAAAGGAAAGGAAGGACTAAAGGGTAGAAGGGAAGGAGGGATGGAAGGAGAAAGGGAGGGAGGGAAGGAAGGAAGAAGGAAGGAAGGATAAAGAGGGAGACATGGAAGGAAGGACTAAAGGGTAGAAGGGAAGGAGGGATGGAAGGAGAAAGGGAGGGAGGGAAGGAAGGAAGAAGGAAGGAAGGATAAAGAGGGAGACATGGAAGGAAGGAGGAAAGGATGGAAGGGAAGGAGGAAGGAAAGGATGGACTAAAGGGTGGAAGGGAAGGAGGGAAGGAAGAGAGAAGGAAGAGAGAAGGAAGGAAGGATAAAGAGGGAGAAATGGAAGGAAGGAGGAAAGGGGAGAGGAGGAGGAAGGAAAGGAAGGAGAGGAAGGAGAGAGGGAGGGAATGGAAGGGTAGGAGGAAGGAAAGGAAAGGAAGGACTAAAGGGTAGAAGGGAAGGAGGGATGGAAGGAGAAAGGGAGGGAGGGAAGGAAGGAAGAAGGAAGGAAGGATAAAGAGGGAGACATGGAAGGAAGGATGAAAGGATGGAAGGGAAGGAGAAAGGAAAGGAAAGGAAGGACTAAAGGGTGGAAGGGAAGGAGGGATGGAAGGAGAAAGGGAGGGAGGGAGGGAGGGAGGGAGGGAGGGAGGGAGGGAGGGAGGAAGGAAGGAAGGAAGGAAGAAGGAAGGAAAAGGAAGAAAGAAAGAAAGAAAGAAAGAAAGAAAGAAAGAAAGAAAGGAAGGAAGGAGGAAGGAAGGAAGGAAGGAAGGAAGGATAAAGAGGGAGACATGGAAGGAAGGAGGAAAGGATGGAAGGGAAGGAGGAAGGAAAGGAAAGGAAGGACTAAAGGGTGGAAGGGAAGGAGGGATGGAAGGAGAAAGTGAGGGAGGGAAGGAAGAGAGAAGGAAGGAAGGATAGGATGGTGAGAGAGAGGAGGGCCTGAAGGGCCCAAGGGGCCGCATCCAGCCCAGGCCTGGGTTTCCCATTCCTAGTTTAAGGAAAATCTATTTCTCACCATTGGTTCACATTCTAGTCTCTGGAATAGCAAAAGAAAGAGGGAGGGAGGGAAGAGGGAGGGAGGAAGAAAAGAGTAGAAAAGAGTGAGACTATGATTTCCTTCCATCTCAACACTATCCAATTGATGCAGCTTAGAATTGCATTGACCTTTTTTGCTGGCGCATCAAACTCTTGACCCCCTCGATCTCTTTCCCACGGACTGTTTTCAAGCCCATCCTACATCGCTGCATTTCATTGTTATTACCAAAGTGCCGTTCTTCACATTCCTCCCTCTTGATTGGATTGTGATGCGTTTCGATGTAAATATACAACGCTGTGCGCTTTGAGAGAAGGGTGTGTATGTGTGCGCGGTATATACCGATACATAAAGCGCCTGCTTCTCAAATTAATCCACTTAGAAGGCGATAAGAGTCATAAAGGGAGAGGATTACCATGGGCGTCGAAAATCATTTACACTTAAGTCACATGAATATAGAGCAGTATTCAGAGCGGCTTAAGGGAGCCAGCATGGGGCCTGGGAGGGAGTCAGGCTTTGCAGAGCAGGGTTCGCATCCCCACTCGGCCACGGAAACCACAGCGGGAGTCACACTCTCTCGGCTTCGAGGAAGGCAAAGGTCAGCCCCTTCTGGACAAACCGTGCTTGCCATAATTCAGAAGTGACTCAAAAGCACAAAATCAAGGCTTGGGGCCAGGCAGAGTGAAGAAAGCATGCTGACTTTCACAAAAGCAGAGGCCGCTTGGAGGCTTACTCCTTCCTTCCACCTTCCAATCCTTCTTTTTTTTCCTTCCTTTCCTTCTCTTCTTCCTTCCATGCTTCTTTCCTTCCCTCCTTCCATCCATCTCTCCATTATTTCCTTTATTTCCTTTTCCCTTTCTCTTCTTCTACCCCTTTCCATTCCTTCCTTCTCTCCTTCCATCCTTTTCTCCCTTCCAGCCTTTCTTTACTTCTCTCCTCCCTTCCCTTCTACTATTTTCCTTCCTCCATTCCCTTTGTTCCCTTCTACCTACCTATTTTTTCTCTTCTACCTATCATCCGTCCTTCTTTCCATCCGTTCCTCCCTTTCCTTCTTCCTTTACCTCTCCTCCCTCCCCTTCTACTATTTTCGTTCTTCCACTCCCCCTTTTCCTTTTTTCCTACCTATCTGCCTACCCACCTGTTTCCTTCTCTTCTACCTATCTATCATCCATCCTTTCTTCTCTTCTATCCTACATTGTTCCATCCACTCTTCCTTCCCTCCATTCTTTCTTTCTCTCCCATTCCCTTCCCCCCTTCCTTCTTCCCCTTTCCATTCCTTCCTTTCCTCCTTCCAGCCTTTCCTCCCCTCCAGCCTTTTACTCCTCTCTTCCCTTCTTTCCATCATTTTTCTTCCTCCATTCCCTTTGTTCCTATCTATCTATCTATCTATCTATCTATCTATCTATCTATCTATCTATCTACCTTCCTTCCTTCCTTCCTTCCTTCCTTCCTTCCATCCATCTCTTCTTCCATCAGTGCTTCCTTCCATCCATCCCCCTTCCTTTCCCTTCCATCTTTCCTCTTCCCTTCTTTCTCTCATTCCCTCCATCTTTCCATCCGTTATTCCCTTCCTTCTTCCTTTCCTTCTCTCCTCCCTCCCCTTCTACCATTTTCCTTCTTCCATTCCCTTTGTTTCCTTCTACCTACCCACTCTTCTCTTCTTCCTTCAGTGCTTCCTTCCTTCCAACTTTCCATCCCTTCCTTCCATCTTTCCCCTTCCTTCCTTCTCTCCTTCCCTCCATCTTTCCATCCATTCCTCCCTTTCCTTCTTCCTTTAGTTTTCTCCTCTCTCCCCTTCTACCATTTTCCTTCCTCCATTCCCTTTGTTTCCATCTATCTACCTAAACATCTTCCTTCCCTTCCTTTCCCTCTTCTTCCTACAATGTTTCCATACTTCCACCCATCCTCCCTTCCATCTTTCCATTCTTTCCTCTTAGAATCAAAGAGTTGGAAGAGGCCTCCTGGGCCATCCAGTCCAACCCCCTGCCAAGAAGCAGGAATATTGCATTCAAATCACCCCTGACAGATGGCCATCCAGCCTCTGTTTAAAAGCCTCCAAAGAAGGAGCTTCCACCACACTCCGGGGCAGAGAGATCCACTGCTGAACGGCTCTCACAGTCAGGAAGTTCTTCCTAATGTTCAGATGGAATCTCCTTCCTTGTAGTTTGAAGCCATTGTTCCGTGTCCTAGTCTCCAGGGAAGCAGAAAACAAGCTTGCTCCCTCCTCCCTGTGACTTCCTCTCACATATTTATACATGGCTATCATATCTCCTCTCAGCCTTCTCTTCTTCAGGCTAAACATGCCCAGCTCCTTAAGCCGCTCCTCATAGGGCTTGTTCTCCAGACCCCTTATCACTTTCCTTCCTTCCCTCCATCTTTACCATCTTTCCTCCATATTTTCTTCTCGCCTCCCTTCCCTTCTCCCATTTTCCTTCTTCAATTCCCTTTGTTCCCTTCTACCTACCTACCTCTGTTCCCTTCTCTTCTACCTATCATCCATCCATCCCTTCTTCTCTTCCCTCCTACATTATACCATCCATCCTTCCTAGCTTGATTGCTTTCTTTCTCTCATTCCCTTCCCTCCTTCCATCTACCCTTCCTTACCTTCCTCCCATGCTTGCCTTCTCTCCCATTCCCTTCCCTCCTTCCATCTACCCTTCCTTCCCTCCATCCATTCTTTCCTTCTCTCCCATTCCCTTCCCTCCTTCAATTTACACTTCCCTCCATCCATCTTTACCTTCTCTCTCATTCCCTTCCCTTCTTCCATCTACCCTTCCTTCTCTCCTTCCTTCTTCCTTCCCTTCCTTCCTTCCCTTCCTTCCTTCCTTCCTTCCTTCCTTCCTTCCTTCCTTCCTTCCTTCCTTCCTTCCTTCCTTCCTTCCTTCTTTCCTTCCTTTCTTCCACCCTTCCCTTCCTTCTTTCATTCCTTCCTTTTCCTTTCTTTCTTTTTCCTCTTTCCTTCTTCTTCTCTCCCCTTACTTCCTTCCTTCCTTCCTTCCTTGCTTTTACCTTCCTTCCCTCCTCCTTCTCCAACCTTCAATCTTCCTATATGCAAGGGCAAAGCAATGGGGACTTCGAGGAGATAGCATTTGTGTGTGAGTGTGGATGTTACCATTTTCGTGCCACGCGCGTCCGGCCATGCGGGGGACAAACCCAATTTGGGGGGGGGGGGGGTTGAAGGAGAACAGATCGGCCCGGGGTTGTTTTGCCAATGGACAACAAAAACCGAGGTATCTTCCACCAACTTTTCCAGCTCAGGCATCCTTCCCCATTTCTTGGGGACAAAACTCCAGGCCAATCCGGAAAAAGAAAGGGACACGAGGGAAAAAAACGAAAAAGGGAGAGGGCAGAAAGGCAGTACAGTGGGAAATAGCGACTCCCTGAGAATTAATAATTTTGAGGGGACCGGAAAGGAAAGACAGGATGTGGAGGTCCCCGTTGCCTCCCGCTTGCCCCCCACGCACAACCACGGTGTCACTTGGACGAAAACGGCTGCCAGGCGTACCATTGTTTTGTTTTTTTCTTATGGCTCTCCTTTGTTTGTTTCTTTTGTCGACGTATCCGTTAAGACAAATCATTATTAATACACTTACAAAAGGGCCGGGCGGGCCGGGTGGAATGAAGACACCTCCCCAGGTTGGAATTCCTTAGAAAAAGACCCAAACGTCCCTCGCCTCGCAAATGTCCACCCCGAGAGTTAAAAATAACTTAGTTTGGCTTTACACACAGAGAGAAAAGACCCCCCAACGCCAGCCCCAATGGCCCCCAATGACACAAACGGGGACATCCAGGCTTCCCGTTCGGAAAGAGGGAGCCGTCGGCTATGAGGCAGCAGAGTATCGGTGTCCAAGGCAGCCAGGAAAGGACAGTCCTGCGGCGGCGCTGGCTTTGGACAGGTTGCAAGTCCGTCCGTCCCGCCCGCCAGAGTCTGTGCAGGAGCGTCGCCAAAATAGTCCAGGTGGGGCATCAGAAGCCTCCAAGGAGACGCCGGGAAGCGGCCAAAGAGGGGGCCCCGCCGTCCAGGGCAGGCTCCGTTAGAAACTCACCAGTGTATAGACCATACTGAAGGGCAGGAAAGAAAAGGAGGGAAGGAAGAAGGAGGGAGGGAAGGATGGAAGGAAGGAAAAGGGAAGGGGGAGGGGAGGAGGGAGGGAGGGAGGGGGAAGGAAGGGAAAGGAAGGAGGAAAAGGGAAAGGAAAGGAGAAAAGGAAAAAAGGAAAGGGATGGAAGGGGGAAGGGAAGGAAAAAGGAAAAGAAGGATGGATGGATGGAGGGAGGGAAGGGAAGGAAGGAAGAAAAAGACAGGATGGATGGATGGAAGAAAGGAGGGAGGGAAGAAGAAAAAAGGACGATAAGGGAAGGATGGAAAATGAGGATGGAAGGAAGGAGGGAGAGAAGAAAGGGAAAAAGGAAGAAGGGAAGGAAGGGAAGAAGAAAGGAAGGAGGGAGGGAGGGAGGGGGGGAGGGAGGGAGGGGGGGAGGGAGGGAGGAGGGGGGTCTCAAAGTGGGACCACCTACGAATCATCACCAAGGAGAAGAAGGGAAAAAAAAAAAGGGAAGGAAGGAAGGAAAAAAGAAAAAAGGAAGGCAGGCAGAAGGGAAGGAAGGAAGGCAGGAAGGAGGGAGGGAGGGAAGGAAGGAAGGATGGATGGATGGAAGAATGAAAGGAAGGAGGGAGGGAGGGATGGAAGGAAGGGAAGAAGGATGAATGGAAGGAGGGACGGAGGGAGGCGAAGGAAAGAAAGAAGGGAAGGAGGAATGAAGGAAAGAGAGAAGGAAGGGGAAGGAAGGAAGGGAAAAGAAGGGGAAGGAAGGAAGAATGGAGGGGAAGGGAAGGGAGGGGAGGGAAAGGGGGAAGGGAAAGAGGCAAGGAAGGAAGGATGAAAGAGTGGAAGGGAAGGATGGATCAATGAATAGAAGGGAAGGAAGGGAAGGAAGAATAAAGGAAAAAGAGAAGGAAGGAAAGAAAGACCAAAGGAAAGGAAAGAAGGAGAAAGAGGGAGGGAAGAGGAAAGAAAGGATGGATGGATGGATGGATGGATGGATGGATGGAAGGAAGGAAGGAAGGAAGGAAGGAAAAAAGAAAAAAGGAAGTCAGGCAGGAGGGAAGGAAGGAAGGAAGGAGGGAGGGAGGAAAGGAAGGCAAGAAAGAAGGAAGAAAGGCAGGAGGGATGGAAGGAAAAAAGGATGGGCAGAATGGATGGATGGAATGAGGGAGGGAAAGAAGAAAGATATGAAGGAAAGAGGGAGGGATGGAAGGATGGTACGGAAAAAACAAAGGAAGGCAGGATGGAAGGAAGGCAGCAGGGAGGGAGGGAAGGAAATAAGAAAAGAAGAGAGGGAGGGAGGAAAGTTGGAAGGAAGGAAGGAAGGAACGAAGGAAGGAAAGAGAAAGAAAGGCCGTCACCAAAGAGAAACTGTGGCAAACCAAACAAGTGACAAGATTTTTCTGTTTGCAGCTCATAGCAAAACTTGAAGACAGGTAATAAATTAAAAATATATTATTATATGATTATTAAAACATAGCAGTTGCCAACATTATTTGGTCATGGAACCCTATCTGTGGAACCCGAAACCTGTCCCTGATTTGTTTAATAATATCTATCTTCTGGAACATTTTATGCTAAATCAAATACGTCTCCCTGTTGTTGTTATATTATTATTATTATTATTATTATTATTATTATTATTATTATTATTATTATTATTATCATCTTCTTTTCAAAGCCGGCCAGAATAAATATATCGCCTGGCTTTTGAGTAAATGAGACTCACGCTTACCTGTACAGGTAATAGAAGAACGACAACAGGTAAAAGGCCAGTTTGCACCACGACTCCTTCTGGCAGTAGTTCAAGATGTCAGCATTCATGATGGAGACGGCGTCGTACATGACCTCCGAGCCGTCCGCTGGGCGATGGAAATACCTGGGAAGGAGGGAATAAACAACAATGGTGCACCGTGGATTCAAATAATAGGGGAAAAATACAACTTAAACATTAGGAAGAACATCCTGACGGTTTTTAAGTTGAAGCTGTGTCTTCCTGTGTGGCAGAATGGAATTGGAATTCCTATTCTTTTCCATGGCACAGCGAACAGAGGAATTGATCAGCAACTGAACATACTAGAGAGGTTTGGGGAGAATTCACCATGATTTATAGGACTTGTAGGTACTGGGATGTATAGTTCACTTGCTATCTAAGAGCACTCTGAACTCCACCAAAAATGGATCGGGAACTAACTTGGCACACAGAACCCCCACGACTAATAAAAATATTGGAGGTCTTTGGCGGGATTTAGAGGTGTTGTAGTTCACCTACATCCAGAGCGCACTATGAACCCAAACAATTATGGATCCAGACTGAACTTGGCATGCATGCCCGATATGCCCAAATTGGAATATTGGTGGGTTTTGAGGGGAATTGGCCTGGACATTTGGGAGTTGTGGGTACTGGGATGTATAGTTCACTTGCAATCAATGAGCATGCTCCACCAAAGATGGAATAGGACCAAACTTGGCACACAGAGCTTCCATGACCAGCAAAAAACAACAACAAAACAAAAAAAAACCCCTGGAGGTCTTTGGACAATTCACCTTCATTTTGGGGAGTTGTAGTTCACCTACATCCAGAGACCACTGTGAACCCAAACAATGGATCTGGACTAAACTAGGCATATATACGTGATATGCTGAAATTTGATTACTGGAGGGGTTTGGGGGGAACAAACCTTCCTTTCTGGGAGTTGTAGTTCACCCACAACCAGAGAAACTGTGACCTCTAGTGATGATGGACCTGGACCAAACTTGATACACAGAACCTCCATGAGTGACTCAACCTACTGAAGGGTTTTTTAGGGGACTGACTCAGCATAGTGGGAGTTGTAGTTTACCCTATAGTCAGAGAGCACACTGAACCCCACCAATGATGCATCTAGAGCAAACTTGCCCAATATAACACACTTTAAGTACAGGCATGATGGGAGTTGTAGTTCATCCACAACCTTATGCATTTTGGTCAGTTAAAAATTGACTTTTTCAAATAACCCAGGGAACATTGGGTACCCAAGCTAGTCACAGTAGTGGTAGCAGTAGTCATAATAATATATATATAAATAAAAATGTAATGTTCGTTTGTGGGATTAGCAGAACTCAAAAACCACTGGACGAATTGACACCAAATTTGGACACAAGATACCTAACAACCCAATGTATGTCCACTCAAAAAAATTGACTTTGTCATTTGGGAGTTGTAGTTGCTGGGATTTATAGTTCACCTACAATCAAAGAGCATTCTGAACCCCACCAACGATGGAATTGAACCAAACTTGGCGCACTGTTCTCCAATGACCAACAGAAAATACTGGAAGGGTTTGGTGGGCAGTGTCCTTTGGTTTTGGAGTTGTAGTTCACCTACATCTAGAGATCACTGTGGACTCAAACAATGACAGATCTGGACCAAACTCTACAAGAATACTCAATATGCCCAAATGTGAACACTGGTAGAGTTTGGGGAAAATAGAATCCTGACATTTGGGAGTTGTAGTTGCTGGGATTTATAGTTCACCTACAATCACAGAGCATTCTGAGCCTCACCAACGATAGAATTGGGCCAAACCTCCCACACAGAACCCCTGTGTGGGCCACAGCAACACGTGGCAGGGGACGCCTAGTAGTAGTAGTAGTAGTAGAAGTAGTAATAATAATAATAATAATAATAATAATAATAATAATAATAGTGTAGTTTTCTGACATGGTATATTTCTGCCGCTTCTGTGATTGTTCATTTGTATTTTGATTCTGTAGCCCACTTGTTGATGGATGTCCAGAATCATCAGCATCCACTGCGGTCCTTTTTACCCTGGGTGTCGACCGAGCCAGTATAGACTTAGTTTTGGTTTGCTTCTCCATAGTGCTAATGGATACATCTAGACGCTTGGGAAGTGTTCGACTTGCGATTTTGTGATACGAAATCCAGCATATATATCTCATTTGCTGTGTTTTTGTGTCAGTGAAATAACAACAACAACAACAACAATAATAGTAATAATAACAGATCCCAAATATAGACTCTGCAAGGAAGCAGATGAAACAATAGATCACATCCTCAGCTGCTGCAAGAAAATCGTGCAGACTACAAGCAGAGGCATAACACCGTTGCTCAGATGATTCATTAGAACTTTGATCTTTGATATTGTTGTTTTTAAATTGTTTTTAAATTGTTTTAAATTGTTTTTCATTTGTGTTTGATTTTAGCCTGTTCTTGTAAGCTGCCCCGAGCCCCAGGGGAGTGGCGGCATATAAGTTTGAATAATAAATAAATAATAAACTTGTGCCACAAATACCATCTGCTTGAGACAAAGAACTGGTGGAATCACAAGCCAAGAAAAGTTACAAGAGAATAAACACGTCAAGCTACTCTGGGACTTCTGGATTCAGACAGACAGAGTTCTGGAGCACAACACTCCTGACCTCACAATCGTGCTAAAAAACAAAGTATGGATTGTCAATGTGCCAATGTTGGGTGACAGCAGGATCGAAGAGAAACAACTGGAAAAGCTGACACAATATGAGGATTTAAAGATCGAACTGCAAAGACTATGGCACAAGCCAGTAAAGATGATCCCAGTGGTGATCGGCACACTGGGTGCAGTGCCTAAAGACCTTGGCCTGCACTTAAACACAATCGGCGCTGACAAGATTACCATCTGCTAGCTGCAAAAGGCCACCTTACTGGGATCTGCACACATTATTCGCTGATACATCACACGGTCCTAGACACTTGGGAAGTGTCCGATGTGTGATCCAATACAACAGCCAGCAGAGTGTCTGCTGTGGACTCATCTTGTTGTGTTAATAATAATAATAATAATAATAATAATAATAATAATTGAAGACAATGGTAATGGAGTCTCCTTCTCTGTAAGTTTTTAAATAGAGGCAGGATGGCCATCTGTCGGGAGGGCTTTGATTTTGTTTTCCTTCATGGCAAAATGGGATTGATCATGTATCCAATCTCTGGGCGGAGAAGCAATAGGCAGATGCAAAGATCTTCATCAGCTCGCAGTCCTGCACTTTTGGCCAATTCCTTGCATGAAAAAGTGCATTTTTTTTCCTTTGTCCCTTCTTGCATTTCAGCAATGCAGCACTCTTGCCCTTTAGGATAAGACACTGGCAATGGGCACCCTACTTTTGAGCCCGACACCATTTTAATTTTGCTCATAAAGGACAATGCTTCTCCTCCGCTTCCTGCATTAACGTCTCACCAGCACTAATTTCCAGGACAGAGGCTGCAAACCTACAGAGATATCCAGGAATAGAAAATAATAATCTAACTATCTTTCCAGGTTGGTCCCAATGTGGCAAATATAATGTCCCCTTCAAGCTATTTATCTTGGGAGGGTTTGGGGGGCGGGGGGGTTGCAAGCAGGTCAGGATTGACAGCCAACGTAATTGTAAAATAAATAAAAGAGTACCAAGTTTATTATTGTTTGATGGCAGCTTTGTTTTTCAGTTGATGCAAGGTTGAGCTCAGAAGGTATTAAGCTAAAGGGTTACATGAGGCATGGGCAAACTTGGGCCCTCCTCTCAACCAAGTTTGGTCCAATTCTCAGTTTGGTGGAGTTCAGAGTGCTCGTTGATTGCAGAAACACTATAAATCTCAGTACCTACAACTCC